TTATATGTATATATATATATATTTATATATATTTCCGATGTTGAATTTATCTTCTTAATTGAGCAATTTTAGAGAGTCATTTATTTATTTGATAAACAATACAGCGTATTTATGATAAGTGTAATGTTCGTCTTTTGTATGAGGAATCACAGAAATGTATGAAAAGGAATAAGTGTAAGAATTTGCAGTTGCATACAGATTGATCGTAGCTACCCTACATATAAAATGCCATTAATTCTTTGAATATTTCGCCTTAAGAGAAGAGAAGGAATAAAGGGGAAAAAGGAAAAAGAAAATGTTTCTAGCGCGTGCACACGAACGATTTATGTGAGAAATGTGTTTTACATTGAGTATGATAAGTGCGTGACAAATATTTCATTGATTGATTGCGTGTGAAAAGTGGCATTTCTGATCTATTCAACTTATCATGTTTTCTTTTCCTTTTTTCAACCCACTTTATATATATATATATATACATATATATACATATATATATATATATATATATATATATATATATTTCAAGCTTTTAATGTACTCTTCCTGAATGAAGAAGCAAGAAGAAACAAAATTCTTTGATCATACAAAGCAATGAGTAGCTTTGCAAGCTGAGAGTAGGGTATTTATTTTTCAAGCATTATAATTAACTACAAAACGGAGGGAAACGATTCATTCACATTGCACGAATAGTAGTCAATAAACTCTTGCATAGATGGATTTCTAACGAAGACGAAGAAGAGAAATGTAACTGCAGAATTGAATTATTTTATGGCATTGGTCGTATGCTGTATTGAAATTTAATGTAGATGGAAAATCTCCAGACTAACAATTATGAGTACATATTATTGAAAGAATATTCAAAGGATTTTCACAAGAGGTGAAATCACTTTTCTGCACGATATTAATTTTAGAATATTTCCTATTTGACATGCATACAATTTTATTAATTGTCAGTGAGTAGTGCGAGTTTCATTTAAGTGAAACTCCACGAATATGTACTTCTAATTGTAAGATTGAATAGACATTGTACGAATATAAACTTATCAATTCTATAGGTTAGAGCTTCTGGAAAGTTTTGAGGATATTAAAAGTGTCTAGTATCTATGTGTTTTATAATCCTGAGGCATTTGTAATTATTATGACTCTGTATGCTACTTTAAAATGCTCTAACTTCCAGTTGTGTAACATTGCACTTGCAATTAGCAGTACATATTAGCAGCATGATTTGATCAAATATTCAAGAAGTAAGATGTTCTTTTACAAACTATAAGGAAAATGCAAAATGATTTTTTTTTCTATCCAACAAGATCGTTGTTTCTTTCTTACATTAATTTAAACGGATCAAGGAGACTATTATTATAATCGACAATTAGATTGGATTGTTTTACCTCATGTGTCTCTCTGTGTGTGTGTATGGCGGTCGAATGTATTTGTTAATGGTCGTCTAAGAACTACAGGCATGAAAGTTTAATCGAGAAGTGATTTCTTGCTGTTTCACGGTCACGAAAGCATATAGAATATGTCTATATGTGTCTGATGCAAAAGAGATAAACGTAAACAACGTGTTGATAATGATGAGTGAATATATTGATAATTGTGAGACGAGCGGTAATTAATTATGAAAAAACAAAAAGATAAAAAAAAAGACTAATATTTTATGGATGGGACACAGTCGTTTATTGAATGCCTGAATATATACTGTATAGATAAATATATATATATAGATATATATATACATATATAGATATATATATCTTTATTGAAATCCAGAATGTTTATACATAATGTAAAGAGAACATTGATGGAAAGTACGTCGAAGTTTATTTATTGACGTCCTGCTGTAAATGATAATCGATATACAAAGACTGTAGTTTAAGACAACTTTTAACAGACATTAGAACCGTTTCTAGCTCATTATTATAGCCGGCCGATCTATTTCAAATCGTTCGCTATTTATCACAAGAAAAATATTCATTTAATGTCTCTTCTGTTGAACATCAAGCAAATTTAATCGTGCATGTATATTGATCTTCGCGAATGGAAGCCAATGTGCTCTCTGTCTCTCTCTCTTTCTCTCTTTCTCTCTCTCTCACTTTATGAAAGAGACATCGCGACTTCATCCGTATATTCATGAATCAGTTGACAACAACTGTTGCTCAAAGATGCCTTGCGAAACGATTTGGAAATGATCTACGACGAGTGTAAATAATACGTAAAAAGCATTAATGTCATTCGTGAACGTTTACGAGTTTTGTTGTAGACAATTCTCTATTGTAAATTAATAATCGAGGTTGCGTTTCAAATGAGACTATTGAGAATGATGACGACCGAATAACATCAAAGTTTTGTCATGTGAGAATGTTATTTTGATAGGTGGCAGAGATTGATTCTTATTACGTAAGTTCATTACAGGATGATTAAAAAATGATACACTGGCAGTAGTTTATTTATACACTTTTTCAAAATCCTTCGCTGGACCACTTGTTAACCATCTGTTTCTGTGTTCAATCAATATCACATCCTTTTCAAAATTTATAGTATAATACAGCTGAAAATATACAACAATAATCCAGTATGTTTACTTTATGTAGTTTATTGTATGTGATATTGCTCGAATTAAGATATGTTTCATTTAATCCTGTTTTTGTTTCAAGCTACTTTCTTTCTCTTTTTCAAGAAGAATGTGCGCCAAGCATTCTTCTATCTAGAGTCAACCACAATTATAATCACACACAGTTTCTTATACAGGAATTTATTTCAGGCCTTTATATTTACATACTAATGTATACTGTTATTTGTTACAAGATGGTCCAGATTACTGGAACCACTCAAGTGACTTCATAAACATTTTTAGCAGGTGTGATAAATAAGAATCACAAGAATTGGGAAAACTGTGTGGAATGCGCTATCCAAAGTTTGTTCTATCTCTTGACAATCTTCAATATTTTTAAAATGAATTTTTATTTAAGTCATGAATATAGAAGAATACATGTAATTACAATATATCTTATTTATGTTCAATGATTGAGCATTTCTGAAAATTCATGCATATGTATGAAGTGACTAAGCGAAATTTAAAAGTTTTGGTAGCTCTTACATAAACATTAAAACATAAATTGATGTCTTATAACATCTATTAAAAACCTTTATAAATTTTTTTAAACATTGTATTGGTATATTTTTTCAACATGATAAAAAGATTATAAGTTTTTATGCTTTAATAATCAAATGGAATCTTGAAGATAGCGCCAAGAGATAAAAAAGCTTTTTATATTGCATCAGATTCCAATCCTGACTACTCAAAGCAGGCTACACACAAATATATTTAATTTTACATATTACTACTCTGTCAAGCACAAGAAAAGAAGAGAAGAGAATGTGTGAGT